TATATGATATGATATGATATGAATTGAGTTGTACTCTACTTAGACGATGCCTATAAATTGCTATTATATTTACTGACCTATGTTATAGGCCACAATCGCTCAACAACTGGCACTTGAGGTTTCCACCGTGGCCAACTTTTTCATGAATGCTCGGCGGCGTTCCCTCGATAAGTGGCAGGAAGAAGATAGCAAGACATCCAGCCTAGCGGACTCCAACTCTTCGCGATCGACGCCTACTCATGTTGGCCAATTATTGACTGAATCAGGCGGTCGGCCATCTGGCTTAGGTGATGACTGTAGTGCTGGCGCCAGTGGCAAGGGTAGCGGTTGTAGTGAAACAGGGCAACAGATGATTATGTGCAGAGCTGGTGAAGGTCCACTTTCATCTCCGCAGTCTGATTCTGAAATCCGTCAGTTGTCTGTCGGACGCCTGGCAGGAATTGATGATGATAACCTATCACCAAGTGGAGGAACACATATGAACACTCACAATTCTCTGTCTGCTGGCCGAAATGGACAACATTCTTGCCCTTTACCACAATACTCTCATCCCCAACTGCCTTCTCTTCACCATTCAAACCATCCTCACCACTCACATCACCAGTTGCACCATCACCACCACCACCACCATAATACTCTCCATCCTCATCTGGGTCACATTCCCCATTCGGGGACCAACATGCATAACAGATCTCATCAACTCCCTCATTTGATATATGTTAACAACAATCCCTCAGTTGTTGGCCGATCTTGTGACACAGATGGCTCCAATGTTCCCTTGCTAGGACAAACGTCTGATGAGGTTGGTAGTTTCTCGGCTAATTTCATTCCGGATCAGCAGCACCACCATCATCATCACCATCAACAACCAGTTATCTCTTCTCAACACATATACCTTCAGGGAAATGCGCACGGAATGGCACAAATGCCACAACATTATAATGGGCCTCCTGCGGCAGTTGCACCAGCAAGTTTTGATTCAAACAGGCATACACAGGCTGTATATGCTTCTACACTAAAAGGGCCTCTTCTCGAAGTGGCTTTTGGCCAGGACAATAGCTCAGGCGCCAATAATTGCAGTCTATTGCACTCTTCACAGCATACGTCCAGCCAGTTGCGGGCACTTATGACTCCCACACAACAGTTCTTCCCCGCAAGTCTTGACCAAGGGCATCGGGCACTTACTGAACAGGTATTCCTCCAAGCCATATACAAGATGACAGTTTATATATAAATTAATTTTTTACGTGCTATGTTACTTTTGGTCTTAACTAATTTTTATTTAGGAAACTTTAATTATCTGATTTAAGACAGTTTTAGAAGGGTTATTTGCCAAACGCGAATGGATTTTCAAAATAACATCTTTAGTTCAGTGCCTGACTTAGGCTAAATTAAAGATATCAAATCATCTTCTAAGTAATTTATTCGGCCTGAAATATATTAGAAAGAGAACTCAGAATCTCTAAGTGGTGAAACTATTGAGTGATTTCAAGTAAGGGTCCTCAATGAGTTACTTGACTAACTAATTATATATTCATTTTGAAGAAATAAAACAGCACTAGACAGGCTCATTTAGTTGCTTCACTTGAGCCTGTTACCAACATAGTTTATTTATGGAATGTATTCTTAATGTAGGCCAACTCAAATAGTGACGATCAACAAAAATGTTAAAAAGGAAATGCATATGGAATTGGAGAAATCAGGAGTGCATTTTTTCACTAAGGGAATATTTTCTTAGTCTGGTCGACACCATTATTAAAAGTTCGAAGATGTGCTTTGAGTCACTAAGATTCCTATAACTCTGCTCAATGACATGCCTTGTGGCCACATCCTTGGCCACGCTGCACTGTCATGGTTCGACTCCCACTTAAGGTGTTGATATGACCTCTGCGAGGTCCAAACTACAGTCACCATGGATGATGACACCTTATGGGAAAGCAAGGTTATGCGAGATTCAATGGAAACGTCAGCTCTACTCATATCATTATGGAAAAAATAAACTATCAATCCTTCATTGCCTTAAACGAAATCGAATGAACACAACTCATATAACTTCATACTTTCCCTCTCTCTCCCTCTCTTGCCGAGGACTTCTTCACACGATAAATCAATTTTCACTACGCGACTATCCTCCGTGGGTTTTAGGTGTATTCACCCTATTTCGTTTAAGGTAATGAAGGACTGGTAGTATAATTTTCCCATTGGTATGAGTAGAACTGACGTTTCATTGAATTTCACAGAGCCTTGCTTTCCTAAAAGTTGTTCTCACCCAGAATTGTTCACCTTGGAAGAGAAAAACTTTTGGGACAGCAAGGCTCTGTGAAATTCAATGGAAACGTCAGCTCTACTCATACCAGTGGAAAAATTTTACTACCAGACCTTCATCACCTTAAACGAAATAGGGTGATACATCTCATATAACTGATTTACTAGCAGTCTAGAAACTCTACTTATATACGAAAATATCTCCCTTTAACTGAGCATCATATGATTCACCAATAACAGAAAATAATTGTCTCATTACTTAAGCCGCCTTTGCTATTTTACCAAAACCTTAATCACAGCCTTAGTGCGGTCTTTTTGAACCATAAGAACCTTTGGTCGAGTTATACAGTAATATAATCGCATCAGATAAAGATCCTATGACGAATTTTCGGGTAAAACTGCTTAATTGACCATGAAACGGAAATAATCACTCTTTGGGTCGATAATTTACTTACTCTCGTTCCTATAAATTTTTTATTTTTGTTTACGAAAAAAACTAATTTAATACCACATCAATGCTCAAAAGAAAATAATGGCACACTTTTATCATTCTCATTGATGTGTGTGTGCGTGTATTTTTTTCGATGTCGCTTTAGGGAAGATTGATTGTTCCAATGATACCACGACAGAGGGAATCCAAAAACGAATTTTAATTTCAAAGCCATAATAATAATGAATAGTCTTACATTCATTGAGGGGACTTTCATTTGGTATTAAAGTGCATGAAACAGAGATTCATAATTCGATCTCACCAGAAGATGATGGCTGAATGTCATTGTACTGCAGCAGTTTGGCTTTTATACAAGGTTCAGGTTGACGCACTCCACCTGATCTCCTCCCTTGTTTCGGGTGAAAGAAGGCTGAGCTGTTTTATATCATATGATGGACATTATCAGAGCTGGAACTCATTCTTGTAAAAGTTAACATTAGGGCAAGAAGATTATCCGGCTCTATATTGCATTATTAGGGGGACCTTCATTTCGTATGAAAGTGCATGAAGAAGAGATTCGTTGGTCGATCTTACCAGATGAGG